TGCTGACTCTGTAAACAACTTAGAAAGGGCTGAAAGCCCTATGAAGCGGTATATAAGTCTAACTGCTATTGCTATTGCTAAACACACAAAAGATGAATAATTATTACACTAAGCAGAATCACCTGGAGAAACTTCAGGATGAAGCTGTGGGGCCTGCCAATGGTATGACCAGATGTTAGAACTCCATGTGACAGTGCAGTTCTTGACATCACCATTACGTTAAGATATAGAACCATGATGGCGAACCTATGGCCCAGCCCAGCTCCACTGCGCATGTCTGCGTGCCTCCCACCGGCCAGATGGTCTTTTGGTCTCTGCCGCGCATGTGCAGGGTGCATGCAGGGGGACGCACGGGTGTATATGCATGGGGTGGGCTGCATACATGGGGGGATCACAATGTATTTTAGGGCCTTGTGCCCCACCCTGCGCCCCATTTTGGGCCTGCACCAACTTGAAAGCCAAAAATGGGTGAGGGGCGAATGCACAGAGTGGGGGCGGGGGAGTGCAGGGGTGTGTGTGCATGTACACACAGGGGGATGGGGCATGTGGGGGGGTCACACGCATTACATTATGGGTGTGGGGGCACGCACGCTGTCGCGCACACATGCTTTCAACACGTGATGACAAAAAGATTAGCCATCACTGATATAGAATATATTTGAGGAGCAAACAAGGATGGGAAGAGGGAGATGGAGACAGTCTTAGATGACTGTGGAAAACTGGGAATCACAATCTGGATCAGAGCAAAATTCACTAGAGCACTGGAATTCCTACAGTTACGGTTATGTGGAAGTCTGTTTGCATCCCTTAATTTTTCATTTTTCTTACCTCCAGGCACCACGGTGGCTTTCTATGTGCAATACGCTGAAGATAAAGAAAAGCCCTCTGTCCTTAACCGCACCTACCTTAACTACGGAGGAGGTTACTCTTACGAACAGAGCTGCTTCAAGGCATCTCATCATGGGGTTTATATGGTGGTGGTAGGTGCCGAGTTTCCTCCAGGACCTGCCTTGGGACAACTGGTCTTCAGCAACGGCCACAAAATGACTCTCATAAACAACAAGAAGCGGAAATCCAGTGGTGGCTACACAACTGTCTTCGCTCTGGTGGAACTGGAGAAGGGGGACTTGATGTGGTTTGAACTGGTGCAAGGGGACACAGTGAGACAGAACACAGCTGGCCTGAGCATGGCAGGATTCCTGCTCCTGAAAACCTGAGAAGGGGCACCTTGGTGACATCAGGGGGTCTTCCTGCGAGCGCAGGTGGTTTGATGTTTCAATGAATGGCCTGTTTTCTCTGCGCTAGGACATTAGTCCAGCAATGCTTTCTAGAAGGACTTCAGTAGCTGCTTAGCCACAGCTCAAGCGAGGTGGAGTTGCAGAAGACAATTGGTTTCTTCAACTAGCTACCAGGCAGGTGCTTGTGACGTTTTTTCCCCTTTATGGTCCTCAACATTCTTGTGTTGCCAGCCGCCCCAGAATTGTTGGAGACATGAGACAGGCGGCAAATACATTTTATAAATAAAAACTCACTTCCGATCCCAACGCCCACAGTTTGCAAAGCCAGGCTATGAGTAGGAAGAGAGAGTAACGCTTCTAGAACCCATCCATGGAAAAAGCCAACTTTGTGCATCACTTTATCCAAACAAACTACTGTATTTTTCGGAGTATAAGATGCATCATTTCCCCCTAAAAGAGGGTGATTATTTGGGTGCATCTTATACACTGAATGTAGCCCCACCCGTCCCCCATCATTTGGCCTCTGCCTCCCAGCAATTTGCCTTCTTGCAACAAATGGGGAAAATGGGGCTTGCGGAGGCTGCAATAGGCTATAGCAATCCCTGCAGCCTGAAACAGCTGATGATCTGGAGGCCCATGCTGAAATTGAAAGCGAAACTTGCTGTTTGCTCCATGAGGCAAGTTGCTGGGAGGCAGAAACAGATTTTTTTTTCTTGTGCTAATCAGGCTGTTTGCTGCAAGAAAGTAAGTCAATAACTATAAATGCCTATAGAATGTTCAAATTATTAGACTTATTTTTTAAAGACTGCTTTATTATTGTTCTAGACAGCTTAACAAAATGAAGAAGCTTTTTAAAATAAATGCTTGATCTGAAGAGGCCCAGTGCCATTGTATCTTCTTTTAAATAGCAGAGAATTACTATACTTCCAGAAAGCACATCAATTTTAACAGCATCTGTACAAGTATAGTCTGAAATGCAACACTACAAACAGTGTATATTGTCTGTACTGTTTGCTGATTGTTGCAAGGAGGCAAATTGCTGGGAGGCAGAAGCAGATTTCCCCCCCCCCAACTTGTTTTCCTCCCCAAAAGCTAAGTGCGTCTTATACTTCAGAACATCTTGTACTCTGAAAAATATGGTACTTTGTTTAATGAATGTGGCTCGTTTGTTCCTGCATCATCTATAGCAGGGGTGTCAAACTCACGGAGTCACTTGCTGTCACATGACTCCCCCCCTTCGCTAAACTGGGTATGGGTGTAGCCAGTGCATGATGCATCCAGCCTGCGGGCCATGAGTTTGGCACCTCTGATCTATTGTCTACCTGGAGAATTAGAAACTTAGTGCTTGTGACATTTTTTCCTTTTGTCATCCTCAACATTTTTGTGTTGCCAGCTGCCCCAGAGTTGTTGGATACAAGATGGGCAGCAAATAAATTTTATAAATGAAATGTCATGTCCAATTCCAATACCCATGTTTGCAGAGCCAAGTTATAACTAGGAAGGGAGAGCAATGCTTCTGGAACTCATCCATGGAAAAACGCAACTTTGTGCCTCCTATTGTCCAAAGAAATTACTTTATTTAATGGATGCAGCTTTATTTAATGGATGCAGCTTGTTTCTTCCTTCACCATCTATAGCAGGGGTGTAAAACTCGATTTCATTGAGGGCCACATCAGGGTTGTGTTTGACCTTGAGGGCAGGGTTGGGCGTGGCTGAGGTGGGCATGGCCAGCTTGACGTCACTCGTGTCAGGGGCATCTGTGGTGCCCTGAGTGATCTGCCAGTGAAAATGGGCTCCTGAGCTCTGTTTTCAGCCGCGAAGGCCTCCTGCCGCCCTCTGCTAGGGAAAAGGGAGCTTGAGGAGGTCACAAGCTCTGCTTTTGCTGACAGAGTGCAGCAGGAAGCTGTCGCAACTGAAAACGGAGCCCGGGAGGGTCATGCACAGCCCTCCCAAGCTCCGTTTTTGCTGGCAGAGGCACTGCAGGCTGCTCCTTTGCTGTTTCTGGGGCAGCCCCATGGGCCAGTTCTAAGCACCCCCAGGTCGGATCTGGTCCCTGGGTCTTGGGTTTGACACCGCTGATCTATAGTCACACCGAAAGTTTAGAACCCCAAGGAGAGCACTAAGGCAATTCTCCCATCCTCTTGAATCATCTGCAGGGAGCTAATGGAGACCAATCCACAGGGACAATCCTAAAAAGTGTTGTTTAAAGATGACCATTGTCAGAAGTATTTGACTTTCTTGACCTTCCTGAGCCCAATTTCTTTTTTAATATCCTGTATTTAATGTACTTAAGAGTGATTATTTCCAAAATTCATGTGCTGAAAACTGTGGTATCAAACTCACCCAATGAATGAAAAATGTTTTTTTTAAAAATAATTCCTTTTCACGTCATGGTTCCAAGTATTGTTAGAACCATGCACTGGTTCTAGCAATACTTAAAAAAAAACGCAATGATAGATAAAATCAGGGTTTTTGCAAATATATATTAATAAA